ATGCTGACGGTAATGAGTCTTTTTAGACACATGATATATATAGATGCTGTCAGACGCCAAAAAGTATTTTTCGTCACATGATATAGATGCAAATACCCCTCCATAACATGATATATCTGTTTAATTACACCGAATAGATTTTGATTGAATCTCTCTGTACAGGTGAAGGGACATATTTTCTTTTACTAGTAAGCTATAATCCATAAACATGTTAATGCATAATTTTCAGGTTAAGTAGAGACTATCATAGTACCGCGGGAATTATACATGCACTTATACGCGTTAGCGCTGTCGTTATGTATAGATGTCTTTTTCAACTCTATATACACTACGCATTCTTCAATATACGATCATGAGATTTGATGCCGTGCAGTCGTGTTGTCTGACATTACTGTTTACAATTTTTGGATTACCTCGATCAATCAATATTGCTTAATCATGTTGCCTTAAAAATCAAGATTAGGTGAGAATAATTTTGTCTGGAAGAGGCTCGCGAGGATAAAAAAGGAATATCCAAATTAGCAAATACCACAGCATAGAGGGGAATTTGAGGCATATTCACCGACAGTGGTGAAAAACAGGCAAATTCGTTGGAAATGAGGAAACAATGTTAGAATATGCGAAAAAAAAAAACACTGGCTACCAACCAATCGTAATCCGGCATTCTTATATAAGGTGTAATTATGACTTTATGTTAGTTATACGTCTTTGATTCTGATATTATTATTGTTAATCCATTATTATTTCTAAATACAAGTTTATTGTAAAATTAAACAGGGTCATATTTCATGTAATAAGATTTAACTTTGGGTGCACGAGTGTTTTCCTTCTTCACACTAGTGTGTTATTTTGATCCGTCGGAAATGTTAGCCATGGAGAAAATAGCTCAGGGAATTTTTACACTGGTGTATTTCATCCGAAAGAAAATAGTACACTAGTGGAAAACATTCACTCTTCCACATGATCATGGTTAAACTCCATAAAGAATTGTTTGACATTGACTTATCAACCCAGAGATATGTCATTCACCGAGGTCAACGGCCGAGATCCATATCTCTAAGGTTAATTAATCATTGTACCAACCGATATCAAAAGTAAACAATTGTTTTATTATATTTCCTTTGTTCAAACGTCTCTAATTTTCTAGTATTTGCTCAAGATATTCAACTGCTTCTTGTTTTTAATAAAAATTATCATCTGCTTTTGCAGTTGCTCACATTTATAACTTGAAGTATTCAATAAAATTTACTTTAAAAAATTACACTGAAAACACGAAAAAAACGAGAGTTTGCATAAAGTCATAAACCTACCTCATTGACGTTGTCGTAGCATAACTTTATTTAAGGATGTTCGCTACTCTTGTTTTTTTATTTTTTTTGTCAGATATTCGGAATCCTCTGGTTTTATCTATGTAATGCAAATAAAAAATTTACCCACTAACCTTTACTTTTCTTTTCATAATTTGATTTCATATAGTTTAAAAAGCATTTTTCAAAATCTTATAAAGTCCTTGTTATTTTTTCATAGTTTTTGAAAGAAAAAAAGATGTCAATGTTAAAAATATGAAAAATCTAGAGAGAATATTTTCCTGCCAAATTTTTAACGTTGCTGTAACATTACTTTTTTTAGGTAAATGTTTCAAATCTTATGTTAACCTCTTCTGATTTTCTTCCCGGACTGGATATTATATGTTATTCAGGTCTCAGACAGTGTATATACAGTGACATTCCCGGCTTAGAGTTTATATCCCCTGAGACAAAAGCGAAGGGGATATAAGCCCTAAGCCGGGAATGTCACAGTATATACCCTGTCTGAGACCTGAATCACACATGTATTACGGATTACCCCTGTCTAAATGTTTTTTCCAATGGAGATATTTGTTAAACATTCACAATGCAGCATGTATATTCATTACATGTTTATTGTTCTTAATATTTGGAGTAATCCATTAAAATGCACCTTTATATCATGACAATTTTTTTTCCGTTAAGAAAATGTTTTCAATAAAGTTTTTAGATTTCATGCTTTGTGTTTGTATGTGTGTCTGTGGCTTAGTTTTTTACAACACATATATTGAAACCCCAACCTGATATGTTCCGCATACGTGTAGGATTTTGTAATTTGCTGTGAAAATAATTTTATCGTGTATGTAATAATTTAATATAACACTTTAAAGTGTAAATTGCGTGATTTTGTATTAAAAATGTATTATTAACGGATGTACGTCATTATTTCCCCTATGTGAGCCTCTGCCATTCTTTAGTGTTCCGTACAGCTTTTGACTACGTTTTTGAGGTTCCAATTGGGGATAAAAACGTCGCATATACCCCGGTAGTTTCCGGAATATATACTGACATCCTTGTGTTGTTATCCAATCACAAAACTCGACACATTTGTAATCCGTAATATAAGGTTTAATCTAGGAAATTCTTTAAAGGGGCACTAGCTGTCAAATTCATGTTCACCGATTTGACTCAAATTCTCATATTTGATTTATAACAATGTAAAACTTTTATCCAAACTATTAAAAGTCTAAAATAAACAGTTAACAGGACATGGGCATGATAACACGTAGCTTCGTTTCGTGTGTATTTTAGTCTAGACGCCATCTAATTAACTATCAAGTTGACCACCAAAGTCATCCGATGACCATATAAGCGATGTTAACATAAATAAAGATATAAATAGATTAAGCGAACTCGTGCTATTGGATTTTTCTAGGTCTGTTTAATTTCATATTTATTTATAGATTAAAAATATATGTTTATCATCTTTTTTACCTGTATAAGAATGATTTTTTTGTGGATCGGATCAGTCAATCAAATGATTTACCTTTGTTTCACTTTCAATGGTGACATTCTTTTCCTTTAAATAACTTTACACATACAATTCACGTGTTATCCATCTATAACTAAGGGGTTAAATTGAAGTTCTCATGAATACGGATTCAATGAGGTCTAATTATTCACTTGCAAGTGAATAATTCATCATCAATGTTTCTTAGCTTATTTTGACAGAATTGAACCATACTGGCGGCTAAAAGCGAATCATTATATCACTATTCACTATTCACTTTCATTAATGATTGAACAAAAAAAAATTCATATATTAGATTTTTTATATATCTCATAGCTAGTGCCTCTTTAATATGTTTTTAGCCAATGAGAATATAAAGTCATATAAAAAATTCTCTTACTATATATTAACAGTCTTTTTTTTTATTGTTTTACAGTGTTCAGTACAGGTTATTGGTGAGTAGATTGGAGTGGATTTAGGGCGGGAGGGGGGGGGGGGGGGGGGGGGGGGTCATGATCGTCTAATTCTATAAAAATTTGATGGCAACATAATGGCTCAAACTAGAATAAAACAAAAATATTTGAATAATTTACTTTACAATAATTATATACTTTGAACAAATGGACATTCAAAAGAATATCAAAATCTATTGTCTGCAGCGGTGGATGCAGCCATTTTTAAAAGGGGGTTTCCAACCCAGTATAAAGGGGAGGTTCCAACACCCATAAATCTCCCCCTGGATCAGCCAATTGTCTGGAAAGTCATTCTTTGTATTGTTTTTAAGGTACACACTAATCCAGTTTAGTTTAATATTTTTTTCGATAAATAAGATAAAACCAGGAAAGAGGATCTGGATTTATTTTTGGGGTCCTTCACTGACTTCTGTATTGTTTTTATTGGTAATTTTTTCTCTATTATTTGTATATTTGCCCGTTATTCTCTATTTTTTATACTTAAATCCCCATTATTCTCTTTTCTTTCTTTTTTTTTTGCCCATTTTTCTCAATCCTTTTATTTTCCTATACCCTAATTTCCATGATACACGAGGGGCATCGATGGCCAAGTGGTATAAATAGTCCTTAAAAAGAAAAGTAGTCCCACTACTGTATCACAAGCCAACTATGGTTGTGAGTTCGAACCCCGTACGATGTAGGTGCGATCGACTCTAATTTTAATTCACTAAGATTGTCAGTTTTTCTGTCGAAGGTCGGTGGTTCTCTCAGGGTACTCCAGTTTCCTCCACCAAATAAAACTGACCACCACGAAATAACAAATAGTGTTGAAAGTGGCGTTAAAAACCAATCAATCATCTCATCATGATCCATTACTGCTCATATACATGTATTATGCAGCATTATTTTGAACTCTTGTAATCCAATTAAAATGTATGAATATAAAAAAAGGAAGATGTAGTATGATTGCCAATAAGACAATTCTCCACAAGAGACCAAATAACATAAAAGGTTACAACCATACCGCATAGTCAGCATCCGTATAATATGCCCCTAAATGACAAATGTAAAACAATTCAGCCGAAAAAACTAGCAGCCTAATTAATGTACAAAATAATGAATGAAAAACAAATATGATAGAAAGCAACAAACAACCACCACCAAATTATAGGTTCCTGGCAAAATGTGTCGGTGTTACACATGTTTAGCATGACGCGGTAAGTTGAGTTAATTTTAAACCAGTGTTTCTTGTTTAAAATATGTACTAGAACACACCCGCGAAATTGCGGGCATTTAGAGTGTGGTTGAAAGTATGTAAACTATTGTAGGATGAATTTTTGTAAAAGATTTTATGACTGGAAAATTTCAGGTACTTGGTAAAAGGACAATTTTTTAAGCCCTCACCCTTTTTTTCCAAAGTCCGCTATTTTTTGTTTTCTGTTTTTCTGTATACTATGAACATACATATACATGTACTACAAATAAAGTGTATTTGCTATTTACTATCAATTCCAAGTTGTAATACTATCCTAGGCGATATAGTCATTTTAGAGACTCTCTATATAATATATCAGTGACAGCCGCGGATAGTAAACTTTGAATTACCAGGCTGAAGCTAGCGAACAATAACTAGCGAACAATAAGCCAGCGAACAATAAGGCGATATATCTAAAAACCGAAAAAATGAATAAGACAGCAACGGCCGTTAAATGAAAAATATTTAAACAGGCAGAAATTCTTTCCAAACATTGCAATTTCAACTCTATCATGAAATGGTATTTATCCCATCCATTGATAAAATAAGTCACATCTCTTTTTAGGCTAATTTTCAGTACCACAGTAAATCTGCATCTGTCAACGGATTATTTGTAGGTGTAAGACCACCAATGCACCCACTTCCATTTAGAACGTATGTAAAAGTAGTCCTCCCTGTAAAATACGGCACCTTTGATGTCATTGTTCAATTGAACTAAGATACACATTTGCAGAAATGGGGGTTGGCCTATTCCATAGCTTCTAGAGAATAATAATGAGGGGTGTCACGGGGTATGACTATATAAGTCTTGTAGAGAAGAAACAGGCGCATCTTTTGCGCAAGGTATCGAAGGGCGCTATGTTCAAAAATCTGAAAGTAGAGCTCAAATATTGAAAAAAAATTGTTTTAAACTGGGGGGTTGGCCTATTCCATGGCTTCTAGAGAAAAATAATGAGGGGTGTCACGGGGTATGACTATATAGGCCTTGTAGAGGAGAAACAGGCGCATCTTTTGCGCAAGGTATCGAAGGGCGCTATGTTAAAAAATCTGAAACTAGAGCTCAAAATTTGAAAAAAAAATTGTTAAAAACAGGAGTGTTGGCCTATTCCATGGCTTCTAGAGAAATATAATGAGGGGTGTCACGAGGTATGACTATATAGGTCTTGTAGAGGAGAAACAGGCGCATCTTTTGCGCAAGGTATCGAAGGGCGCTATGTTCAAAAATCTGAAACTAGAACTCAAAATTTGAAAAAAAATTGTTTTAAACTGGGGGGTTGGCCTATTCCATGGCTTCTAGAGAAAAATAATGAGGGGTGTCACGGGGTATGACTATATAGGTCTTGAAGAAGAGAAACAGGCGCATCTTTTGCGCAAGGTATCGAAGGGCGCTATGTTCAAAAATCTGAAACTAGAGCTCATAATTTGAAAAAAAAATTGTTTTAAACAGCTAGGGGGGGGGGGGGGGGGGTTGGCCTATTCCATGGCGTCTAGAGAAAAATAATAAGGGGTGTCACGGGGTATGACTATATATGTCTTGTAGAGGAGAAACAGGCGCATCTTTTGCGCAAGGTATCGAAGGGCGCTATGTTCAAAAATCTGAAACTAGAGCTCAAAATTTGAAAAAAATTGTTTTAAACAGGGGGGTTGGCCTATTCGATGGCTTCTAGAGAAAAATAATGAGGGGTGTCACGGGGTATGACTATATAGGTCTTGTAGAGGAGAAACAGGCGCATCTTTTGCGCAAGGTATCGAAGGGCGCTATGTTCAAAGATCTGAAACTAGAGCTCAAAATTTGAAAAAAAATTGTTAAAAACAGGGGGGTTAGCCTATTCCATGGCTTCTAGAGAAAAATAATAAGGGGTGTCACGGGGTATGACTATATAGGTCTTGTAGAGGAGAAACAGGCGCATCTTTTGCGCAAGGTATCGAAGGGCGCTATGTTCAAAAATCTGTAACTAGAGCTCAAAATTTGAAAAAATTGTTTTAAACAGGGGGGTTAGCCTATTCCATGGCTTCTACAGAAAAATAATTAGGGTTGTCACAGGGTATGACTATATAGGTCTTGTAGAGGAGAAACAGGCGCATCTTTTGCGCAAGGTATCGAAGGGCGCTATGTTGAAAAATCTGAAACTAGAGCTCAAAATTTGAAAAAAAATTGTTTTAAACTGGGGGGTTGGCCTATTCCATGGCTTCTAGAGAAAAATAATAAGGGTTGTCACGGGTTATGACTATATAGGTCTTGTAGAGGAGAAACAGGCGCATCTTTTGCGCAAGGTATCGAATAGCGCTATGTTGAAAAATCTGAAACTAGAGCTCAAAATTGAAAAAAAATTGTTAAAAACAAGGGGGTTAGCCTATTCCATGGCTTCTAGAGAAAAATAATGAGGGGTGTCACGGGGTATGACTATATAGGTCTTGTAGAGGAGAAACAGGTGCATCTTTTGCGCAAGGTATCGAAGGGCGCTATGTTCAAAAATCTGAAACTAGAGCTCAAAATTTGAAAAAAAATTGTTTTAAACAGGGGGGTTGGCCTATTCCATGGCTTCTAGAGAAAAATAATGAGGGGTGTCACGAGGTATGACTATATAGGTCTTGTAGAGGAGAAACAGGTGCATCTTTTGCGCAAGGTATCGAATGGCGCTATGTTCAAAAATCTGAAACTAGAGCTCAAAATTTGAAAAAAAATTGTTTTAAACAAGGGGGTTGGCCTATTCGATGATCTAGAGAAAAATAATGAGGGGTGTCACGGGGTATGACTATATAGGTCTTGTAGAAAAGAAACAGGCGCATCTTTTGCGTAAGGTATCGAAGGGCGCTATGTTCAAAAATCTGAAACTAGAACTCAAAATTTGAAAAAAAAATTGTTTTAAACTGGGGGGTTGGCCTATTCCATGGCTTCTATAGAAAAATAATAAGGGGTGTCACGGGGTATAACTATATAGGTCTTGTAGAGGAGAAACAGGTGCATCTTTTGCGCAAGGTATCGAAGGGCGCTATGTTCAAAAATCTGTAACTAGAGCTCAAAATTTGAAAAAAAAATGTTTTAAACAGGGGGGTTGGCCTATTCGATGGCTTCTAGAGAAAAATAATGAGGGGTGTCACGGGGTATGACTATATAGGTCTTGTAGAGGAGAAACAGGCGCATCTTTTGCGCAAGGTATCGAATGGCGCTATGTTCAAAAATCTGAAACTAGAGCTCAAAATTTGAAAAAAAATTGTTTTAAACTGGGAGGTTGGCCTATTCCATGACTTCTAGAGAAAAATAATGAGGGGTGTCCCGGGGTATGACTATATAGGTCTTGTAGAGGAGAAACAGGCGCATCTTTTGCGCAAGGTATCGAAGGGCGCTATGTTCAAAAATCTGTAACTAGAGCTCAAAATTTGAAAACAATTGTTAAAAACAGGGGGGTTAGCCTATTCCATGGCTTCTAGAGAAAAATAATGAGGGTTGTCACGGGGTATGACTATATAGGTCTTGTAGAGGAGAAACAGGCGCATCTTTTGCGCAAGGTATCGAAGGGCGCTATGTTGAAAAATCTGAAACTAGAGCTCAAAATTTGAAAAAAAATTGTTTTAAACTGGGGGGTTGGCCTATTCCATGGCTTCTAGAGAAAAATAATGAGGGGTGTCACGGGGTATGACTATATAGGTCTTGAAAAGGAGAAACAGGCGCATCTTTTGCGCAAGGTATCGAAGGGCGCTATGTTGAAAAATCTGAAACTAGAGCTCAAAATTTGAAAAAAAATTGTTAAAAACAGGGGGGTTAGCCTATTCCATGGCTTCTAGAGAAAAATAATGAGGGGTGTCACGAGGTATGACTATATAGGTCTTGTAGAGGAGAAACAGGCGCATCGTTTGCGCAAGGTATCAAAGGGCGCTATGTTAAAAAATCTGAAACTAGAGCTCAAAATTTGAAAAAAAAATTGTTAAAAACAGGGGGGTTGGCCTATTCCATGGCTTCTAGAGAAAAATAATGAGGAGTGTCACGAGGTATGACTATATAGGTCTTGTAGAGGAGAAACAGGCGCATCGTTTGCGCAAGGTATCGAAGGGCGCTATGTTCAAAAATCTGAAACTAAAGCTCAAAATTTGAAAAAAATTTGTTAAAAACAGGGGGGTTAGCCTATTCCATGGCTTCTAGAGAAAAATAATAAGGGGTGTCACGGGGTATGACTATATAGGTCTTGTAGAGGAGAAACAGGCGCATCTTTTGCGCAAGGTATCGAAGGGCGCTATGTTCAAAAATCTGAAACTAGAGCTCAAAATTTGAAAAAAAATTGTTTTAAACTGGGGGGTTGGCCTATTCCATGGCTTCTAGAGAAAAATAATGAGGGGTGTCACGGGGTATGACTATATAGGTCTTGAAAAGGAGAAACAGGCGCATCTTTTGCGCAAGGTATCGAAGGGCGCTATGTTGAAAAATCTGAAACTAGAGCTCAAAATTTGAAAAAAAATTGTTAAAAACAGGGGGGTTAGCCTATTCCATGGCTTCTAGAGAAAAATAATGAGGGGTGTCACGAGGTATGACTATATAGGTCTTGTAGAGGAGAAACAGGCGCATCGTTTGCGCAAGGTATCAAAGGGCGCTATGTTAAAAAATCTGAAACTAGAGCTCAAAATTTGAAAAAAAAATTGTTAAAAACAGGGGGGTTGGCCTATTCCATGGCTTCTAGAGAAAAATAATGAGGAGTGTCACGAGGTATGACTATATAGGTCTTGTAGAGGAGAAACAGGCGCATCGTTTGCGCAAGGTATCGAAGGGCGCTATGTTCAAAAATCTGAAACTAGAGCTCAAAATTTGAAAAAAATTTGTTAAAAACAGGGGGGTTAGCCTATTCCATGGCTTCTAGAGAAAAATAATAAGGGGTGTCACGGGGTATGACTATATAGGTCTTGTAGAGGAGAAACAGGCGCATCTTTTGCGCAAGGTATCGAAGGGCGCTATGTTCAAAAATCTGAAACTAGAGCTCAAAATTTGAAAAAAAATTGTTTTAAACAGGGGGGTTGGCCTATTCGATGGCTTCTAGAGAAAAATAATGAGGGGTGTCACGGGGTATGACTATATAGGTCTTGTAGAGGAGAAACAGGCGCATCTTTTGCGCAAGGTATCGAAGGGCGCTATGTTCAAAGATCTGAAACTAGAGCTCAAAATTTGAAAAAAATTTGTTAAAAACAGGGGGGTTAGCCTATTCCATGGCTTCTAGAGAAAAATAATGAGGGGTGTCACGGGGTATGACTATATAGGTCTTGTAGAGGAGAAACAGGCGCATCTTTTGCGCAAGGTATCAAAGGGCGCTGTGTTCAAAAATCTGTAACTAGAGCTCAAAATTTGAAAAAAATTGTTAAAAACAGGGGGGTTGGCCTATTCCATGGCTTCTAGAGAAAAATAATGAGGGGTGTCACGGGGTATGACTATATAGGTTTTGTAGAGGAGAAACAGGCGCATCTTTTGCGCAAGATATTGAAAGGCGCTATGTTGAAAAATCTGAAACTAGAGCTCAAAATTTGAAAAAAAATTGTTAAAAACAGGGGGGTTAGCCTATTCCATGGCTTCTAGAGAAAAATAATGAGGGGTGTCACGGGGTATGACTATATAGGTCTTGTAGAGGAGAAACAGGTGCATCTTTTGCGCAAGGTATCGAAGGGCGCTATGTTCAAAAATCTGAAACTAGAGCTCAAAATTTGAAAAAAAATTGTTTTAAACAGGGGGGTTGGCCTATTCGATGGCTTCTAGAGAAAAATAATGAGGGGTGTCACGGGGTATGACTATATAGGTCTTGTAGAGGAGAAACAGGCGCATCTTTTGCGCAAGGTATCGAAGGGCGCTATGTTCAAAGATCTGAAACTAGAGCTCAAAATTTGAAAAAAAATTGTTAAAAACAGGGGGGTTAGCCTATTCCATGGCTTCTAGAGAAAAATAATGAGGGGTGTCACGGGGTATGACTATATAGGTCTTGTAGAAGAGAAACAGGCGCATCATTTGCGTCAGGTATCGAAAGGCGCTATGTTCAAAAATCTGAAACTAGAACTCAAAATTTGAAAAAAAAATTGTTTTAAACTGGGGGGTTGGCCTATTCCATGGCTTCTAGAGAAAAATAATAAGGGGTGTCACGGAGTATGACTATATAGGTCTTGTAGAGGAGAAACAGGCGCATCTTTTGCGCAAGGTATAGAAGGGCGCTATGTTCAAAAATCTGTAACTAGAGCTCAAAATTTGAAAAAAAATTGTTAAAAACAGGGGGGTTAGCCTATTCCATGGCTTCTAGAGAAAAATAATGAGGGGTGTCACGGAATATGACTATATAGGTCTTGTAGAGGAGAAACAGGCGCATCGTTTGCGCAAGGTTTCGAGTGGCGCTATGTTCAAAGATCTGAAACTAGGGATCGAAATTTTAAAAAAAATGGAAAAAAACCGGGGGGTTGGCCTATAACATGGCTTCTAGAAAAAAAATAATGAGGGGTGTCACGGGATATGACTATATAGGTCTTGTAGAGGAGAAACAAGTGCATTGTTTGCGCAAGGTTTCGAGTGGCGCTATATTCAAAAATCTGAAACTAGGGATCGAAATTTGAAAACAAATTGGAAAAAACCGGGGGGTTGGCCTATTGCATGGCTTCTAGAGAAAAATAATGAGGGGTGTCACTGAGTTTGGCTATATAGGTCTTGTACAGGAGAAACAGGCGCATCGTTTGCGCAAGGTTTCGAGTGGTGCTATGTTCAAAAATCTGGAACTAGGGATCGAAAATTAGAAAAAAAAGGGGAAAAAAAACCGGGAGATTGGCCTATTCCATGGCTTCTAGACAAAAATAATGAGGAGTGTCACGGGGTTTGGCTACACAGCTACTTTCGTGCAAGTAATCTTGATGTACAGTTCTAAAGATGCATATCAAATGTACATCCGTAAAGCTGTATATAAACTATACAGCTTTAAAGCTGTATATAAACTGTACATCTGTGAAACTGTATATCAACTGTACAGCTGTAAAGCTGTATATAAACTGTATATAAACTGTATATCTGTAAAGCTGTATATAAACTCTTGATAGATATTGTATCACACAAGATGCAGTGATAGAATCTATATGTATAGCTTATACACAGATTTAAAAATGTGCAGTTAATGTACATTTTTACAGAGTTGCAGTTTATATACAGCTTTAAAAATGTACAGTTTATATACAGATTTACAGATGTACAGTTTATATACAGCTTAACAGATGTACAGTTTATATATAGCTTTACAGATTTACAGTTTATATACAGCTTTACGGATGTACATTTGATATGCATCTTTAGAACTGTACATGAAGATTACTTGTACTAAAGTAGCTGTGTATATAGGTCTTGTAGAGGAGAAACAAGCGCATGGTTTGCGCAAGGTTTCGAGTGGCGCTATGTTCTAAAATCTGAAACTAGGGATCGAAATTTAAAAAAAAATGGAAAAAGAGCGTATTGAAATAAGACAGAAATATTCTGCAACAGTTCCTGACACCAATCCCCCCAAAGGATTGTTCTTCAAACCGAAGTAAGCGTGTCATTATACCTTACTATGTTGAAAACTGGTTTCTGATCAAACGAAAATAACTGACAGAATCATAATCACCTCTCAAAACGCCATGGTTTAAGGGGACGGCCAATTGATTTTCAAGGGAGAGGGAGAGACAGTTTAATTTAAAAAATGAATATCATGACCATGAAGGAACATGAAAATAAATAATCTTGCACCAGCAGGATCATAATGAATATTCTGCAATACGAAATATTGAAAATAGTTTTGTACAACTGTAAACATTAATTTTCAAACGGAAAAGCGAAAAAGACTAAGAACACGCAGCAACAGATGGAAATGACTATTTAATCTGCAAACAATCCCTCGCCCCTTTTCAAAACCGAATATCGAATGGTCGTCTCCATATACACATGATACACATTCGGTGGTATTTCAGTTTAGGATCAGCTAAATGTGTTGTACATTTATACGTTAGGGGTTTGCCAAAATGAATAAAGGATGGTGGCGAGTATACGTTGATGTTGGACCGGGGATGGGAGCTCGAGATTATGGTTGAGCGTGCAGTCGTCTGAGCAAAGAGATCGGGAGATAGGGGAAATCGAACCTACGCCGGCAGTATAAGGTTTTCAACTATTGAATACAGTACTCGCAAAGAGGGTATGATTTCGACGACAACGAATTGGTGTGAACCCTGAATCAGTTGGCAACGAAAAGCGTAGCGGAGTGGTATATTGCGTGGGATGCCACTTTTCGTTGATTTCTTGGATACAGGTGAACCACGAATCGAAATGCACAAATTTCGTATAGGCCTGTATGCAAACCTTAGTAAAACAACGAATTCAAATATCCACGAAAATACAAAGTTTCCTCAAACCACGAAAATTGGTACCCACGAAAATTAATGAATCCACAGTAGTACGGTTTTTGCTAACACGGGAAGCGCTCACATTGGTAAATCTATTAACATGGATAAGAATCCAACTTTCTTTTGCATGTTCTGTTTTAGCTGTTTTACCAGGTATTCTAAGCTCCAAAACTATATCACCCTTACCACTATCTGACAGCCTGTCGGTTTTAGGTATTTGTTGCTTGGTGAGCAACATTTTTGTTTTCTGATAGATTGGACTGCGAACATGGATGCTGACTGAACAACCATTCTTTGCTTCTTGTTGTAATTTGTTGACCTGACCCTGTGTCAATTTTAAACTGTGTATTCGTGATAACTCATGATCATTTGTTTTTACCTCGCGAGGATCAAAGCGTATGGTCAAATGTTCACCTCTGAGTTCGATGGAAATCCCGCCTTGATTAGTACTCATACGATTGATTGTTTTCAGCGTCACTGGTAAATGTTCAAAGTTTTTAGGATTTTGAATAATTTTTATGCCGGGTAGGACTTTTGGGAAGAAACTGTAGATAATGTATTGTTGTGATCCATTTACATATCTACCACTGATGATATCGCAGTTGATTAGAATGCTGTAGATGATGTTGTCTTGTGTGTAGATTTTTCATTCGAATCGCAGTACTGTTTTGATGCTATTGACAACTTTAAATTCCACTATGTAATTTTTTGATTAGGTTAGTGTCGCACTCAGTATAGTTCGATTGGCATTGGTGTTGCTTTTGTTTGGGTGTTTGTTGAGTCGTAGTTGTCTTCGCAACACGTCGTTGATGTCTTCGATAGTGTAAAAACCAGTGTTCAACGCAATGATCAATCTACGTCTAGCAGTTACTTTTATCGATCAAATAAACGAAAGGTGTTTTTCCCTGCATGAGTGTTTGAAAAAGAGTAGTAAGTCTACAACTTTACCACACCCATTTCGTAACTCTTTCCACTTTTGAGTTGAATTGGTTGATTGAACCGAGTGTCGATTTTGTCAATTCCGGACACGATGAAAAAAATCTTTGCTCAGGAGATGTATTGTCGACGATTGGTCATAACAACTCATTATCCATTTATTTACCTTAAACACAACATTCATCTTTTGTCTGTCACACTCGAACTGCAGAACGTTTGTGTGTTTGCTGGGACATTGATCTCGAATTCTGCTCTGATTTAATTGTCATCCTCCGATTTTTCAGTTTCTCTGACTGGTGAATCAAATCGATGATGCACAAGGGATATAGGTCTGACAAGTCGAAAGGATTGATGTTACTGTTGCTGATGAGATGATCCATATTAAAGAACTTCTTGCGAAAGTTGGCTGCATCTTTGTACAACCAAAATATTTTGCACTTGGTAAAGGCAGCATTGAAGTACATGCATGGGTAGCGTTGTTCGTTGAGGGTGACGTGGATGTTTCGCAAACGCCAATGCTGCGTTATGAGTCTAGTCATTACACTTGTCGGTTTGGAAGGCTATGATGATGAATATAGGTTTTTCTCACCGCTTTTGGCTAAAAATTGCCAACTGAACTGTATACTGTGGGAACGACTATGGGATTATACTATTTCATGCGAAACCACAGTTGAGTTTAGTCTGGATTGTTTTGTACTGTTTCAATTTGTTTTTATCGAAGAGAACAACGTGAGTAACACACCAGGATAATTTACTCAAGACGATCTTTGCCATATTGCTGACTGCCGCTGTTCTTTACACAGCGTTAGTATCAGAGTTAACGTAACGAGTTTTAGTTTGTGTTTGAATCCGAACACGATTTTGGCATAGTCCTCTGTGAAACTGAAGATATGCTTTAATGGTGTGGTAAATGAGAACGTTCCTTTGCTCGCAGGTTACATAACGATGTAACCATGCCTAGCTGCAAAGCCAATGTTGTCGGCTTCGGCTTCGGCTTCAGCCGTCGAATCTTTTTACCAAAAGTGGTTGAGACCCTGCGAATTGCGCAAGTCGAAGTCGTCAAGATAAGTCAACAACCTCGACCTATACCTGGATCATTCACGTATTCGTTTGGCTGTCCTGACAGTCTGTAACCAAGACTTTTGGATAGGTAAATGATACCATTGTTTAAAAGTGTCACCAGATAGTAGTGTTAAAATGAGAGTTCTACACCACCCCCCAATTTTAAGCACAAATTCTGCATAGGGACCCCAAGCTCAAACATAAAATGTAAATTCATTGGAAAATCGCTGGAAGATACAATCTTCTCACTCTATAAATAAATGGATAAGTTTGGATCTCATGCAAGAAAGCGCGCATCTCTTTGGCGAATGCTGCAGGATTTGGATATGAACGACAATCGCATTACTAGCCTACGAAAACCCAAGGACAGCTCGGATGCCGTGACAAAACGTTGGGTGACCCATCAGTTGAAAGATGGTATGAAAGATATTGATGAATTAGATTCTGAGTGTAAACAGATGCAGATGACCATCAAGCGAATGCAAAGGGAGTATGACTCATCAATCAAAGAACTCACAAAAAAGGTGATGACTGTAGAAGATAGCAAAGTCGATAAGTCAGAATGCGTCTCAACCAACGGTGGTAAGATAAACGCGGA